AGCTACTAACTGTCAATTCACTGATCGAAACATATCGATCAGAAGTTGAGACTGACTTTCAATAGCTTATACTACTTTTAGTCCCTGTAAGATATCGAAATGTCTACTAAACGGGGATGCTTCTTCTGATACTATACACTTGTGAGACATAATATTTTTTATCAGGAGAGACAGAACGGTTTAGGATGTCGAGTGCTATAACTCCATATCCAAACAAGTAGGGCAGCTGTTGTCATCAGCTGGGATGACATGAACGTCATATAAATCATGATTATGATTGGTAAAATCAAGCAACTCCAAAGAAACGTTAAATGTAGTCAGATAAGAATAACGGTCATTGAAGGATATTTAAAGAATCAGTCAGTAGTGAGCAGTGATGAAGAAGTGGCGATGCTCAGTCGTGACTTAAACTGTAGTTTTGAATATCATTTTCTCTAAAGATATTTTTACAGTTGACTATATTATTTTTATTATTCTGACTACTCAACCTTTTATTGTCCGAAATTTGTCTCTGTTCACTCTCAGGACGTCTTCCAATTTAAACCATAACACCGGTAGAGTCAAGTCAATTTTTATATGTACTTCTAAGTAGTTAGGTGTTAGGAATCAACTGCTGGAAACATACTTCTCATTAGCCAGACATGTCGTTTGACGACTGATGATACTACCAAGTTGCCTACTTTGAACGAAATAGCGCAGAATTCCAGTCAAAGAGACTCATTGGTTGAAAGGAAACTGCTTATGCCAATGAACCACAACGTGCAGATGACCATAGTGATTAAATCAATTTATCTTATTGAAACTGTGATTTATAATGTGAATTGAAGGCATACTGAACCAGGTGACTGGCTACGTTTTGCTGCCTAGTAAGGCGTAGTTGGTTAATCTTTGTTTTCCACTGATATGGCTAACACCATGGTTCCCATTCTCATAACTATCCAACGCATTGATTTTAAAAAGTATTTCAAGTTTCACCATGGAGTGATGCTGGTTTGAGAACCACTGAAATCCAGGGAGTACTGGAAAGCTGTTTCATCTTAGTTTGGGACTCATTGAAAATACGAACCCACCGGGGTTCAAAATGGGCAGGTTCCAGTCATAAGTCAAGCTCATAGACCATTTAGCCATTGGTACCCGATTCAAGATTTTAGCGCTACCAGTAATATCAATCCGTGGACAAACTTCAAACAAATCAAATCCCTACAAATTAACTCTTGAAAATTAACGACTTCTGACGAAAACAGTAAATCAGAACATCTGGTCTAGAATACTTAGATACACTTGAATCAGTGGATAGATATAAGGCATAAGTTGAATGCAGATTTGCCTCTTAAAACCACAAATCAGTTCATGCTCCTTGAAGTAGGTAGAAATTCTGATCAAGGGAAAATATTCTCTTTAATCTCATGATTAATAGGACAAATTGATGAATGATGCAACTATTATTATTATATTGCTATTTGAAGTCATCAACCTTGATTAAACTATTTATTACAAAAGGTTTACTATAAGATTAAAGACAACAAGACCTAACTGCATAATAGGATTATCAAATGCAATAAAGAAAAAGAGGCAAAGTTCATAATATTTTGAATATCTTTATTTAACAACAATACCTCTGCATGATGTTCTTCATTTTGTCGTAGTACTTCAATGCATAACTCGGCCAAGTGAATAAGATCAGCTAATGTTTTACCTGTAAAAGTAGTAAGAATAAAACAAATCTGTGGTAAAACAAATGAAAAGAACAAATATTGATCATAACGTTTAGAAGTTGTTTCTTTTCTCTTTCGATTACGAAAAGTGAGGATGAAGCAAAGAACATCCTGAACAAATTTAATGTTCTTCGTCCTGCAATAAATTATACCATCGAGAAAGAAAGAGATTCTAATAATCCGTTCCTAGACGACGTCCTTATGACCAGAGGATGGTACAACAAGAAGAAGTGTATAGAGAAAACCTACATCAACTGGTCAGTATATTTATTTTTTCAGCAATCTAATAAAGTGCTTGGCCTGCAGAGAAAGAGCAATCTGCTCTGATCAATGCCTTAATGAAGAGATTAATATTATTAAACAGCTGCTGAGTGAGAAGGGTCACCCAGAAAAATTCATCGATAAGAATATGAATCAAAAGTCAAGGCAGGCCAAAGTACCAACAGTTCCGAAAAAGGCCTTATTCTTACAACTTCAGTTCCTCCAGGATAACATTAGTGAGATATTAACACAACGCCTAAGGAATGTGATAAAAAGACCACTCACTACTGTTCAGTTATGCTGTGTCTTCAAAACCACATTTATTTTGAGTTCTGGAGTCAAAGATAAACTACCTAATTTCGCCTCTTCTACGTGTATTTATCAATTTGACTGCTCTTGTGGAAACAGTTACATAGGTCTTACAATTAAGTGTGTTTATCGTCGGATTTCAGAACACCATCCTGCACAGTGGTTAAGTAAAGGACAAACAAATTCCATTCATAGTTCTATACTGACTCATTTCATAGGTACAGAACACACAATTGATGTAAACAAGGCCTTCAAAATCAACTACCGTATACCAACTAATCTTAATTTTACCTCAACAGTTCGTCTCCTACATATTGCTGAGGCTGTTGGGATCCACATTTAGAAAACTAATCTATGTATCCAAAAGAAGTTGGTTCAGACAAGTTCCTTACCTCGGCCATCAAGGTTTCAACGATCATCAATTTTTTGTGGACCTACCGATTACAAGGCCAGCAAGCTCGTATTCCATTCAGCTACTGGCACCCGATTCAATGGCCAGTCCATGTATTCTAACTTCTACCAATTCGTGATTTAGCGCGACCCCAAACAATGTCGTTGGTGGGACATCCATCCACACACGTGACATCTAATTGGACCTCACTGGTCCAGACTTCTCACTAGAATTCCAGGAAACTCGGTGTTGTAGCAAGTCACTAGAGAGCATCTGAATTATTTTCTATAGTTTGGTTTTTAAGGGTTAGTTTTGTTGGGTGCGTACTGCCGATGATTCCCAAAAACTAGGATGAAACAACTGTCCAGTACTCCAGTGCTGGTTTTCAATGGTTCTCTAACTGATATCAATCCATGATCAACTCTATGGTATACCAACTGATAACTACTTGTAATCAGACTTAGTTACCTACTGAGTAGTACTCGTTTTATTTCCTTTCCTGTTTAGCAGCCTGTACATATAGCCTTCTAACAGGATAGTATGCGATAACAAAATCAGGACCTGTCAAACCAAAATAGCTTTACAGAAGACATTTTCCAAACTTTTTGCGGTAGAACAGCATGTTAATTTCAATGATGAAAATATACATAAATAAGAATAATTTGTTTTACTGTTACATTATGTAAACAACTCGTTATCAGGACCATCTGGAGTTTAGCATAACTAAGTATGCTTCACAGATGCTATCGAATTCTTTCTACGAATTATACTTCGAAAGGTTTGGAATGTCATCACATAATAGTAGAGATATGGTAAAGAATATTATTCCTCATACATATACTAACTTAATTTCGTCTTATTACCGTAACGGAACTCCTCAAAGCACACTTTTTGTATAAATTGCATACCTAGTGTCCAAATGTATGAAATACTAACAACAACATCTCATTGGAAGTGGAAAAATAAACAGTGTTTTTAATTCGTCTTGTGAAATATAATAAATCTAGCAATGAAAAGCTTCAAAATGAAATCCAAAGGTTTGTAAATCCGCGTGAATCAACCACCTTTAATTTCGTTATTTCCTCTTAGTTTCATTGAGTTTAAAATGAAAGAACTAAATCCTATGGGAGTCGAAAATTTAATGGAGAATAAACAGCCATGCAACAACCGGTGTTTCAGACATATGAAAAGCAAATAATCCAGTCATTGAGATATAGTCGAGACTTATGAGTAAGAAAGAGGTAAGAAATGTCTACAAAACACCCATTTTACTAGATAGAAATTTGGTTTCGTTATGTCTACGTAAAAGTCTCTGTTTTCCTTGCAGAATTCCTATTTTCCATGGGCCTGCATATCTTGTAACGTATATCTTCACTAAATACAAGGTGATTTAGTTAATAGGAGAGTGTTCAGTAACTTTTTGGTTATTCAATACATTCCTATAGCATTTCATGTGCAATAAATAACATTATTTCATAGAGGAAGTAAAATACCGTTGGTTGCTCTACGTATCTGTAATAATGAGCTTATCAACTGAATCGATTCACACTTGAGAAAAAAAATGACTTCACTCAACCAGGGGATATCGCTTATATACAAGCAGACGTAGGATTATGTGACGGTAAATGTATCCCAACTTAAGTTATGAATGTTCTGGTGATCTTTAATTTTTGAAGTTCTCCACTTCGTTGACAGTAGGATTTCTGAAGACGTCTAGAAAGATGTTAACAGCAGTACTAACAAAACCTAATGATTAAAGAGCGAAATCTAGAGACAAAAGACAAATATGCGTATACCTAGAACACTAAACCACGATGCGTCACTTTACATACATAGGACAATATATAATACTTTAAACAGCAAACTATTAGGAAATTATGTGATTTCGATAGGAGAGAAAATAAAACCAATGCAGCTAAGCTGAATTCAATGGGTGGGTAGTGACTAACGGTGGAATCGAGAGTGGTCATTTCGTCCATTTTGGGACTTGTCATCTGAATGTGCCTGCATTTCCCAGTGAGTGATGGTATTCAAACCGAGGCTCGAACCCGGTGCCCATATTTTCACACGCCAAAGCGTTATCCACTAGACTGCTTAAGCCACGGGAACCACCCTGACAGAGAAATCCAAATTGAATTAAATAACTAAGTAGAATTGTTCAAAATGTTAATAATAAATAAAATATTACATTCTTATTAGATACAATATTCGTAAGCCACGCAGGTGATCCGAGTTCAATTCCCAGCTGATCTACTGTTCACCCTTGCCTAGTTGGTGGTAATCCTGGTTGAAGAAGGAAGTTTGGGAGTGAGGTTAGCAATCCCACCACGTTAGTGAATATTAAAATCTCAGAGCTTGAAGCCCTTTGTTTTACTTGGAATGCAAAGGTATGAAAGAGAAATTACATTTTTATGACTATGGTAGGGTTTTCTTTTACAAATCAAGCATAAGATTAAGTCTGAAAAGGAAACCAACAAAGTTTCACTGATAAGGTGGCATAGCATATTTTTTTAACTTACTAGTTGTTTGGGAAGGTTCAGCATTTGTATCACGACCACCTGGATAAAGGAAAAGTTTTAAAAATGAATTAAAATAAATAATAAATTAACATAAACTTAGTCTTAACTAGTAGAAACTTTTGACTTATTTTAGACACATAATCAAGCAGAAAGAAATAGTGAAAGAAAAATAGGGATAGTTGCAATGATAACAGACTATAGATAAAAAGGGGAGAGAGGTAATATAGTAGTAGTACAGTATTTAGCAGGAAACACGGCGACTATTTACAGCTTAAACTGACATATTTATTCCTATAAAATTAAAATTTTACATTTTGATGCTGTAAAGACAGAAGTGATGGTGTAATGCAGTCATCCATACTCGTGGAAAGAACTATACCAAAAACTTCACGTCAATGTAAGCATCAAACACTGACAGCCTCTAACATGTCTAAACAAACTGGGGTTCTTAAGGTTCATTTACGCAGAGGAAAGCTAACAGAATAACATTAATCAATCATTTCAATGGATATGAGCAATATTTACGATTTCGTAGGCTTATTGAAATTGATTCCTTACGACTCAACGAAAATTGCATTAAGTCAACCTCTCACAGTACCCATCTGAAGAAAAACGTTTATAGACAAGCATATTATGTGTACAATTATGTTGCTTAACAGTTGAATGAGGAAGTTGCCAGTTTCTTCAACCAATACGGCCTTTGTATCATTATTTGTGTCTCACAGAAGTATAACATAACACCTGTAAATGTAGAGAGTGTTGTTCTCAGTGCACTATTTCAAGGGGAGGTGTAACAAGACTGATAAAAGGCAAAGGACGTCTTAAAGCAGAAATGTAACCAGTTTATTAAGTCACTGACTAACAGTCCAGCCTGTTTAAGGATGGTACAGCAGTAGAATACTTGCTAACTACACAGGTGGTCCGGGGTTCGATCCCTGGACGACGAACTCTCTCACCTCACTAAACCAGTAATAAGACTGGTAAAGAGGGGAGGTTGGGCGTTAGGCCACCAATTCCATCCAGTAAAAATAAACACCACTGCTACCGAAACTTCAGAGCTGCAGCTTGAAGCTCTATGTTCCACTGAGAATGTAAAAGAATGAAAAAAATTGTTTGCGTTTGCAAAAAGTTGAAAAACTTAAGCATTCTTTTTAAATTAACCTATACAGTAAATGATTACATCATTCAATGCATTCAAGCTATTTTTGTAGTTTGGCAAGCTGAAATGGAATTTATATGGTACATTTTTCCACTTGGAGGCCTTTCTTCCATCAGCATTTAAGAATAGACATTAGGGCCGATTCTTATTCACAGAATAAATCTCCGTATACAACCTAAGTCCAGTGGCAATCAATTCTGTGACCATATTTTCCTGTGGTACGCAGTTCCAGATATAGAGGGAAACCACAGTTTGCACGATTTCTAGTAATTCCCAAAAATAGATTGATACCACATTAAAAAAATTCTCATTGATGGCCTGCTGTCCGATAACTAATCAACGATTTCTTTTCCTTCATCAGATTTATTAAAAGTAAATGGCAAAGAGAAGTTGACAGCAGTTAAAATTATATTTAAAGTGATATAAATTCTTGCAGGAAACAACACTGATGCTATAAGCCAGTTTCTATGACACTGAATCCAAAAGACTTCGTCTTTTGGAGACTTGTTACTACTACTCAAATAATCAATATCATAACAGTAATATGAATTTGTCTGATGATCATGTCAAAGATATATCAACCAAAAAGCGGAAGTCATCAATTCATTTCTACAGAAAAATTTCAATAATACAAACTGATTCAAATATATATGAAGAAGAAAAAATGTTAAATTTATTCTAAATTCATTGTTTAAGGCTTGCTATGAAAAAAGATGTAGCCAAAAATGCATTCAGAAAAGAAAGTGTTACAAATAACTTTCTAGAATGGCGTGAATGATAAATGATTCATCTGCGTGCAGATAACATTTCTGTAGACAATACAAAATGTAATAGTAATAATAATAATATTAGTAAGCAGTAGTCTGTCTATTCCCTAGCTGCTTGCTAATATTGATACTGTGTATTAAATTTTCTATAGTTTGGTTTGTAAGTGTTAGTTTTGCTTTTTACGAGTTGATCACGGATTGATATAAGTTAGAGAACCATTGAAAACAAGCATTGGAGTACTGGACAGCTGTTTCAACCTAGTTTTTGGGAATCATCGGAAGCACACACCCACTGGGATTCGAACCCAGGACCTTCCGGTTATAAGGCAAGCTTGTATACCATTCAGCCACTGGGACCCGATTCAATGGCCAGTCCATGAATTCTAACGTCTACCAATTCGTGATTTAGCGCCATCCCAACCAATGTCGTTGGTGGGACATCCACGTGACATCTGGATGGACCTCACTGGTCACGACTTCTCATTATAACTCTAGGAAACTCCATCCTGTAGCAAGTCACTAGCGAGCATCAGATTAATCTTCTATAGTTTGGTTTGTAAGGGTCAGTTTTGGGTATTACGAGTTGACTGTGTATTAAAAACAAGCAAATGAAGGCAGACTAAATGAAGAGCTACATTCATCTTCAATCAAGGATATAAAGAGGACTACTGGAAATTAGTTTTCAGAGAAGTTTATATATATATATATATTATCAGAAAAAGTCTGAGAGAAGTATTTCCTATGAGTGCACAGAAACCTATTGAGGGTGAGTAAAAATCAATTCTTATTGTTTTCATCATTCAAACATATCAGAATCGTGTGAAATCAGTAGATGATCGATTGATAACTTGGCCAATTGTGAATTAGATTTCTAACGGTGGCAGACGAAGACTTGGTAAAAGAATGTCTATTTGCAATTTGGTATCTCTAAATACCAAAATTATTTACACCTTATCTTCAACGCACTATTTGCACAGCTCTTACGTGTTGTGCTGCTTCCATGTATCTTCGCTATATTATTTGCTTTCACCAGCATAAAATCTATCCCCCCCCCCCATATTTGATATTTTTATGCCGATGAACATCTCTTTATATATATATACTACTGATAAATCTTATCAGTAGCACACGACACAGTTTTGGCTGATAAATTCTCATAATGGTCGAAGAATTGATTAGAATCCGTAAAAAAGTCTAATTAAAAGATAGTGGCTGATAACTCTAGTTTTCTCTGGTAAAAATAACATTTTGGTATTATGGAAAGGACTGACTTAACCAGTATAATGTCTAAGACATTCACGTCATATATCAGTTACCACATTAGCGACTTGTGCTTATATGTTCAGAGACTATATTGTTTTGTTACACCAAGTCTGCCTTAGTCATCTAATTTTGCACTCTAAGGGCTATTTACACAGTAACGTTTGCCTCTATTTTCCCTGCCTTATGTTTTATCTGTGATTTTGGCTCTGAAGTTACCACTTTCAACTTTTGTACATGCAATTTTGACTAAGCATACTATGTTAAATTTTATAAAAATATGTGTGATAAGTAGGTGTGTGATTAGACTGTTCGACACTTGCTGCACATTACACATGTTAGACAAACCACGTCTTTTTTGGATTTGGTTAAATTCATATTAGTACTTAGATTAGATTAAGAGTAGATATTTTAACACTAAAGTAGAATATAATACTGTATCACCGTGTGTTACATCTAATCTATAACTCAACTTTTTGAGGAAACAAAACATTAAGGTGTTAAGGTTTAAAGCAAAACAAATCAGAGAAGAAATAAAACTAAATGCAAAGTTAATATCATGAAAAGATTTGGTGCGGCACTTTTTTAACAGCCCACTGAAGACTTAAACAACAGCTATCTTCCCTCCATACTGAAGATCAGATGACCAGAAAGAATTATTTATGAACAAGAAACTCTTGGAACTAACCTATCTATAGCCTACTACCAAACAAATATGCCGATGGAGATCACTGAGCGATAACACTCATCAGGCCCTCAAGTGGAACCCGAATAGAAAGTAAGAAGTTGGATGTCAGAGGGTGACATTGAGGAGATCGTGTGTGGAGGAGATGGAGACTAAAGAGGAAAATGCAGATAACAGGATAAAATGAATATGAGCTGTTGAAGCATTATTTTCTACTCGGAACTCAGGAGAAGAAGAATAATAGTGTAACAATATACAAGAGTTAATTAATTTAAATTTAAGTAAAGTAAAGAATATGTACTCACTTTCAATTGCTGCATATTCTGATATACGAGCATAGTTTACTAATGCAGCTTGTTCTAGACATCGTCGTATCACTTCACGAACTTCTTCAGCTGATGCTGGTGCACCAGTATCCTTCATTAAAACCTAAGTGATTAAGAGATTGAATAAGAATATATTAATTAGTATCGGTCACAAAATAAATAATCATTTGGCTATATTATTTTATCTGTTACAGAGAAACAAATCAACGAAGTGGTGTATACTTATCATTTTCTAAGAAATCCTCTGACAAGGATTGCCACTCGATATAGTACAACTTTTTTTATTATGTTATTCTTTTATTTTCCCAGTGGAACATAGGGTTTCAAACTAGAGGCTTGAAGTTTCGGTAGCAGTGCTGTTTATTTTTTACGGGATGGGACCTTCCCTCTTTGATTGGGTTATTATCAGCTAAGCAAGGTATAGGAGTGTGTCGGTCAGGGATCGAACCCCGGACCACCTGAGTGGCTTGCAAGCATTCTACCGATGCGCCACCGAGGCACTATAGTACAACTTAACACCGCTTAAAATGCAATTTAATTATATCATGAATCCTTTCCACATATTTCCTGATATACTACGTTGAGACCATAAGAGTCTATGTCGTGTTGGTTGTGGAGTGGGTGCTCAATAATAACATTGACTGGCAGCACCCTCAAGGTCCTAGGCTTGATCTCTTAAAAAATTCAAGAGTATGCAAATCTAGAGAGCTTGAAACAAGGGTCAAACAGCTACCCAATGCTCCATGACTTTCAATAATTCTCTAACTGACATCTGTTTATAATGAAATCTCTACTGAAATTAATCGAAATCTCCACAAATCGAGAAATCTGAATATATGCAATTAGTTGGAAACTCAGTTGTCTATTCTAAAAAAGAAATTTATTTTCAAATATTTTTGTTTGAAGAGAGAAGGGAGAAATTCATAGAAAAAAAAGTGATATATATATTATACTTACTCTTTCTAATAAACCTAAAGTCAATTTCAATGCACCTTCTGGACGTCCAAAAGGAAAGTAATATCGAAACTCTGTAATCTGTTTTTCTAAAAGAGCATAAAGACGTTGACGTATCTCCATGAACATTTGACGTTCATCAACTAGAACAGTACGAATATTTGTGTCTTGTCTATCAAAAATAAAACAGAAACAGATAACAAACAGAAGTGAATAGTGTTGAGTGATGATCGAGTGTATAAGGATAATTTTTGAATTACAATAATATTAGTCAATCAGATTTTTCAAAAAGTAGAATAGTGTTATAGAGATGAAACCATTTTTTAGTTGCTCATAATTTTTTGTTGATATTATATGCTATAAAAGGCAGTTGAGAAGTGATTCTAACGAAGAAAAAAAAGCTTCGGTCTATGACTGTTCATCTACACTTAGATTAATAAGTGATTTTTTTTCATGCTGTAGAGTAATTCGGTAGTCTGAAAATCCCTATTATTTATTTCATGAAATAAAGCGTATTCACACAAAGAGTGACTGTTTTCAACTACTCATTCTCAAAGACAAACTGTGTATACAAAATAAGTTTGTCCAGATATAATTCGATTTGTAGTGATGAAAAAATTTCATATTCTTCCTTTATTTCTTTTACAATCATGACACATTTTATCTCCTCATCGTGTCTCACTCTAACTGACAGTTTTGGCCTTTTTATTGTTGAACTGCACTCAGTTCCTTTTATCTACAGCCTAATTACTTAGCATAGTTTTGGTTTACTTGAATCTCTAAGATTTTCTAATGTTTGTTATCAGATGGATATCGATTTTATTATTACTTTTAGACCGTACAGTCAGCGTAAACATCCTGAGACTTAATCAAAAGTGAATTTTTGTCAATAACTATACAATGAGAATGTGTCCACACTCTACTTTATAGATAATTTTATATTTCTAGATGTCATAACAACACGCTTCTCGTTTTTCTTGCCCAATGAGTGTAAGATATATGCAGTTGTATAGATGGAGAATGAGTTGCTGGGAAAAGTCTTTATATATATATATATATATATGTATATATATAGCGTGTTTGAAAACCATTGAATTTGAGTAGATTCTCTCAATGTTAAATATTTGTTCATTAAAACTAAACAGATTGATGTTTTCTGAACGAATCACGGCAGTTTAACTATCAGGCTTATTGACAAAGTCAGTAAGAACTTCATTAGGAAGTGAAGCATAAATATCTAGGCTATGCTAGGTATTTATCCAAGTGTGGGTGAGAGATTTTGCCTTCACGGAACCTTTAGTCTATTAATTCCTCTGAATCATATGACAACTAACTATTTATATTTAGTGTGTAATTCTCTACTTTCAGTCATTATTGTTGTATTTTTTGTTTTTAATCCTCTTGGTTGAGTTTTAATTGACTGATTCAAACGTGATTGCTTAACTCCCTAAACAGACTTTAGTTTGAGTCTATATGTCTACGTATCTATTGATTATAATTGAGTCAAAATGTCAGACATCTAAATATTCTCCTGCTGTCTTTGAGTTTGTACGCTGTAAGCTAACATCATTCTCTCAGTCAGTATTGTGCTTGTAATTGTCTAAATGCGTTGGGAGTAACGAGGAAGTATTCTAACTTCTTACGGCTCGCTGATGTTCTTGAATACTTTTTGGCAACCTAGCTACCAGAGTGGTGTACCTGGTGTTGTGAATAGTCTGACCGTTCGATTTGTAAATTATATTTACCTTATCATTCTTAAGGAACAGAATTTGCAGTAGATTTCGTAGTGCCTTCTTTTGTTTATCTGTCACTTCAATAATGAATTGCCAAAGTAATCCTTTAGCGGCTTCTGAGACGTGTTTGATGGTAACCTGACTCTTAAGCCGAGGTAGCTGTGTTGTTTTGATGATTAATTTCTTCTATTTCATAAAGTCTTATCAACTTATCAGCACTGTTTCCTTTCTGAGAAGTAACTGTCACATAGTTTAGTAGAACAGTTGCTCAGGCTAACATATTCACTTAAACTGTTAAAAATTTCATTCAGATCTCAGTTTTCATAGAATATTTGTAGTCTGTCTGAGCTCTAATCACAGATTAGAAGTAAACAATTAACGTATGTGTGCGTCGGTGGCACAGCGGTTAAGACGCTCGCCAACGATGCGCATGGTCCGGGGTTCGATCCCTGGCCGACGCACTCCTCTACCTCGCTAAGCCAGCAATAAGACTGGTAAAGAGGGAAGGTTGGACATGAGGCTACCAACCCCATCCTGTAAAAATAAACATTGCTACAGAAACTTCAAGCCTGTAGCTTGAAGCCCTATTTTCTACTAGGAACGTGAAGGAACAAAAAGAATTAAGGAATAATAATCTAATGCTATTGAAGTTAAAAGAATATCGGAAACATGTGTCTTCAAACACTTTCTTAATTATAAGAGTTAAACTGAGTTGTATGTAAGTGATTATCAGCTTGAAACTCTCGAAAACTATGCATTTATGACCATCTAGAAGTATAACAGAAGAATCATCACGCTATACACCGACCAACCAGTTTAGCACTCAACTTCTTGAATATGTTTCTTCAATTATTGGTATTTTGGAGGGAATTTATTTGATTGGTTGGAGGATCACATCATGAACTCGGGGCTCTTCAGCAGTACGCACTCACCACCACAGTTCAAACCCACGACCTTCTGGTTACGACGCCAGCGAACTCGTAGGCCATTAAGCCACTGGAGCCCGATCTAATGGCCAGCCCATGAATTCTAACTTCTGCCGATTCATGACATAGCGCAACCACTTCGCAATGTCTTCTTCAATGAGCTACTGCCTTCCCTTCAACCTGCTTCAATATCTCTTAACTGTCCACCCGTATTCATGACTTATCAGGGTATAAAGATCAATACGCCTTTGACTAGATGTAATCTGTAATTGATCATTTCAATTAATGACTTAGTTCTGAGTGGTTTGATATCCAATCGCAGTAATCTGTTAAGTAAGTTAATTTTTTATAAATCATCTAACCAAATCCATACACAATAGGCCTACAAATCAAATAAGAAATAATAACAATGATAAGTGGTTAATTAACGAATACTTACGTATTTCCAAATACATGACAACAACAGAATGCATACGAATAATGAATAATAGCAGGATCAATAATTATGCCTTGTTCAGCACGATCAAGTAAATCATTTAAATAACACAAATGACGATGACAACCACGTACACCATAACGTGCACAATATTCATCTAAAATAAACATTTGACTTGGACTAAACCAGCCAAGTGATACATAGGAATCTTTCATTCGATAGTCTAATGATTTCGATTGCAATAAAGCAAATAATTCTGCATGATTAATCTTCCATGGCTCAATACTGACAAATTCATCTAATCCATGTTTACGAGCACGATCTACATCTGATATTTGTAAAATAAAAAAAGAAAGAATAAAATGAGTAAATATTAATTGTAGAAAACAACTAGAAATTGCTATAAACAAGAGAACAATAATGGTGCATTCAGTATCCGAATCAGTAAACAATATCCAACTAGCTAGAATTGTTTCTTATAGAAGTATAGCCATTATACAGATGGAAAACTTTTGTTTACCTCTTCTTAATTTGCATAATTTAAGACGAAGATGAAATATTTCACTGCTCGTTGGAAGATCAGAAAATTAAGAAACAATTAGCGCCGATTCACTTACAGCTATAAAGGTAGGCTAATTGAAGTTCAATTAAATTTGACTAAATTTTCATGTTAGTTTGCAGGGTACAACTCCATTATGTATAAGATTTTATTTTGATAAATTACACAGTGTTGTATAGTAATACTTATTGATGACCACGTTTCGAGCACAAATTATTGCAGCTCATAGTCATATCAAGGTATTCACACAATTTTCTTGCTTCATTTATATACATGAGTAAAACTGATTAGACATTTGAATAAAATCAATACAAGATAAAGTACATTGGGAAATAATATTAGTGTTATCAATCAAATACAATCAGATGGAAAATAAAATGTTTTTCATCAAAATAAAATCTTATTCATAATGGATTTATACTCTACCACAGTGTCCAAATTTTATACTTATATTAATTTGTATGGATTTGATCTGTTTCAAGTTTGACCACAGATTAATATCAAAGAGTAATGGACGTCTGTTTCGTCCTGATTCGGGACTCATCAGTAGTACACGCCCACCGTAGTTCGAACCCAGGACCTTCTGGTTACAAGTCACTGGGACCCAACTCAATGACTTCTAACAATTCATGATTTTACGGCAACCACCGACCAATGTCAGCGTCAGACGTTTGTCCTCACTCTCAATCTGTTCAATTTTGAACACGGATTGATATCATTCACAGAACCACTGAGAACTGGGTAGTACTGGACAGCTGTTTCATCCTAGTTTCAGGCGCACACACTAGGCTTCGGAAGTTTTCTATGTTAAGAATAAAAGCTACTGATATATTCATTGATTGGCCCTACTTTGTCAGTTTCTACCAAACATGAAGTGAAGAAATGTCTGAAGTGATATTACACTATGAAAAAACTTGGGGGACTATGAATAGCTTCCTAAAAGACTTCAATTAAGTGGTAAACTACTGATTTTCAATAGTATATAGAAATGGAGACTGTCATACCAACTATTCAAGTTCACAACTGACAATCACAACAATCCTCCTATTCTACAGGAAGTCGGTTTATTGTTTTAGGCATAGAAGTGCTTTTTATCACCATTTGTTAGCCTAATTTTATCTTGGAACTAAGATTGTATATTCCGCGGCATTTTTTTATCGTCACTTAATCACTCACTTCATTGACAGATATGTTTCTTTTTTACCAGTAATGGCATCACTATTGTCTGTTTAAAAAAAAACAACACCGTCATAACAAAATGTACCGGATAAAATTATCACTAATTTAAGAGAGGAATAAAAAACAAAAGACACTTTTCTTCTAAAATGAGACAAATGAATCATATGAAAATTACATTTAAGAAATTTTAGTTATGTGGACAGAATTAAACCGTTTCCGTGTTGTGTAGAAGTAATAAGCTCACTTGTAGGGGAAACAGATTACGTAACAGAGTAAAAACTATATATATATATATGTAGGCTATAATCTACCTATATATCATAAAATTGTCACACTCTAACAAAAAAGCTTTAAATTGTGTAGGTGGTTAATGTAAATTTATGAATTACAAGTGTTTCGTAATTAATATATATATAGTATTGCACTACGATTACTTTTCATTGAATCAGTGTATGCGTAGACTGCAAGAGAAGTTCACTTTTACTGTACGAGAATTTAGCAACCGATTAAGTAGAGAGTTTGTCGACTTCTCAAATAGCTTCCATCTTTTCAACAAGAAGCTTGAAACAAAATGGTATATGGAGAGTTCAGCATGTCCAATATAGGTCGCAGACGGACACCATCTTTATGCACTTTAAGAAGACTACATAAACGAGGGATGGTTGAACCACACGGTTTGAGATGTTCATACATATACGAAGTAATAATGGGCTCGTCCTTCAACTTCTTCAGTGTTTTTAACAATTCATTCTCAACACCTTCCATTCTATCTTTCTGATTATTTGATTTTAAAAAACGTTTCTTCGTCGCAAAGAATGCTACATAATTCGTTGAACTAACAGAGATCGGGGGTAGCCTATTTGAAGATTATATGTCCGACGTGATCAAAAAAAGATCCGAGGACGTAAGAATCAAGATAGTGAAAAGTTGCGAACCAACCTTTTCACCAAAGAAATATGTGTTTAATTATTCTAATATAACTCTGTCTAACATTCAGATGCAAATGCTATCTCTTGGTGATAAGTTTTGTACTATCTCATCCAGAGTTGACGCATTAGATTTAAAGGTGCAGTTCAAAAATCTTATGTCTCAGACAGAATTTACTTTCAAAGTCTAATGAAGATCTAGAACGATTCAAACCTGCCATAATGCATTGCTACTATCAATACTTAAAAGAGAAATGCAAACAACGACAGATGATATCAAAAGAGCATAAAAGACAATTGAATGAACTACTGAATAACAGGCATATAATATTAATTCAGCCATAGTTATTTTAAATCGTGAGGATTACATCAACAAATCATGTGGCATTCTTTGCGACGAAGGAAAGTTTTCAAAATCAACTGATCAGAAAGATAGAATGGAAGGTGTTGAAAATGAATAGTCAAAAACTTTGGAGAAGTTGAAGGACAAACCTTTTACTACTTCGTATATGTATAAGCATCCCAAGCCGTGTGATTCAACCATCCCTTGTTTATATGGGTCTTCATAATCGTATATTCTTGTGACTAATATGTGTAGCTTGAAACCAAAAGCACGAAAACAGTAGCGCTCACTAGACGAACAGAAATGATCTAAACCTCTTCAGATTACAGGTGGTTTGAAATGACTATTAAAGTTAGCTGTTCTAATGAACGAAAAGAATAAAAAAATACAGTCTATAGTTCATGTTCTATATATATCCACCTAAATATAATTAGCTGCTTCCCTAAATAACCTTATTATTTTATTCTCCTGAGAGGAGGAAGTAAATTTACATAAATTCAGTAAGGGATCTTAACTGCTGAGCAATTTCAGTGAGAAAAAAGCTATACAGACAGTGAGAAATAAAGAGAATGTAACAGTTGTAAAAATAGGGTAAGGATAAGAGTAATAGCGAGATATCTTCACGAACAGCATAGTAAACGCTAAAAATAGGCATTCTACTTACGCAAAAAGGTTGATTGATATAATATCTTTAAAAGAATCAATCAATCAACCCCATGAAATCAACTAACTGAGTAAATTCAAATCGTAATTGATCGCCTCCATTATATCCAATCAGACATATTGCGACGAAAATCGGATAAGTTTGTTTAGCGATAACTTTTACTCTTACTCGTTGAAACAAGATTCTGAGTATAGGTTAATATTTAAATAAGTGGAAATTGAAACAACATATACACTCTTCCAGTAAATACATAATGACCTATTTAATTCTAAAATATGTAAGTGCTTTACACGTCTTTCAAGTGTACTTAAAATAAGAACAACAAAAAGATGATATCCATTAAACTAAGCTTCCAAAGACTTCATCATTCATTTGTATATATATGTTTCAAGTGGATATAGAGTGGGCAATGAAATAAATCATTGGGATTAATAATTAATTGTAGTACATAGGTATAAATACATTGTTGCTTACCTCCTTGTGCTCTGTTTCCCACAGCTGAAGCATTACCACGAGAAAGTGATGCAGAAATAGCTGCTGCTGACGATTTATTCCCAGAAGAGAGATTAACATTTTGAAGATTAGTGTTATTACTCCCCGTAGCATCTTTCGATGGTGGAACAGGTTTATGCGTTTGACCAGTAGCCCGATAAATTGCCTGTATCCATAATTGACGTTCATTTTCATCATCTGTTGCAAATACAACACTATCGCCTTCTTTAACCAAATTAAAAAAGTACTTTCCACCAGTAGATGCTAAATCTATAAGAAGGAAATAAGGTATCAAATTTATTTTTTAAGAATACGTCAAGAATCTATCACATCTGTTAAATATCATAAGAAATAGTCACACAGCCAATTACTTCAAAATGAGCACTTATCAGACATATTTTACCAGCTGGAAATATTTCCCTATGAAGAAACTATCAATAAATATTCTGCCCACATGAAAAAAGTGCTCACTTTGAATTTTTAAAATAATTATATACTGTTATGATAATATGTTGCAAAATAAACAACTGTACTAATTCTAGTGTAGACTTTGTCATGAACTAACATTAGTCAGAATATCATTAAAAAGCTATATACATTGAAAAGCTATCCCGTCGTAACTTGAGGCTGTTCATCAGTAGAAAGAAGAAAGGGTTCGGAAGGAATTCAGAATAGCTAAATTGTAATAGGCATCGAAATCAGATAACTTATCTTGGGCAATTACTTAAGATGATGGTGAAATTCTAATCAAGCAACCGACTAGAGTGTCACATGTTCACCCTCTGTCAGATGTGAGAGTAACATCATATGTGTTTCAGGTCGACGGCTGTACTTTCTGATATTGAAGATTGATTTTTTGTTCGTTGAAAAAAATGTTCTTTAGAATGGTGTGTCAGGGAGAGGTGTCACAGAAACGTTCATCAACACCACTGAATCCTTATAGAAGAACAGACGAGGTAAAGTGAGCACATGAGACCACATATCACCTCTGTTTTCAACTAACAGTGGGGTTGGACATGGTTGCCCACTCTCACCATTTCTCCTTATTTTCCCCGTCGATGAAATTCTGAAGAAAGCTGTGACTGATGATGGTTTAGGTCTGTTGCCTTAAAAAAGACCTATCGACCTTAGGTATGCACATGACATCGTCTTACTGTAAGGTAACATATAGTATACTTAAAGCAGAACCAATCATTCGATGATTACCATTCATAAGTATTGTATGCGCTTTGCATCTTCCAAGTGTAAACTACTCTTGCAAGATTGGCAAGAACCTCTACCTGAACTCACCCTCAGCAGTAAACCATGAGAAGAAGATAGGAAAATCACTTATCCAGTTGCCGATAGGGATGTAACAGAAATAATTTCTTTTCACATAGTGAAGGACGGGGAGGGCTACCTTTATTTCCAACGTGACGTTAGTTAGGGAACCAACGGTCAGGCTTATAACTCTAAGGCGCACACAGTTTTACGCTACACATGTTTAACTAGATGAGGTACGGCAACTCAGTATGTTTGATAATCTCCGTAGAATCTGTAGCGTTCGGTGAAGTCACCATGTAACTAACTCTGAGTTCCAAAGAGTAGATATTTGGACACAGTGGAGATTATCTTGGAATACTGGGTTCGGCGGCATGGAAATGTGCTTCCAGTGTCTGCTAGCCCTTCGACCAGATGGATATTGAGGACGGATTTTCATCCTGTGGTGTGGAGTTGTTAGATGAAGACCGTTTGTATTGCAATGGCATTTGTTAGTGTATCATGACTCACTGGAAGGAGTTCAAGAAACGATGCGACTGAGTGTCTCAAGATGGCAATTTATGTGGCTTATAATAGAAATTGGTGGCAAGCACGCTGCAATTTCCAAATTTCTTTACTTTCTAAAAGCGACACGACATAAGAAACCCTCTAGTGAATGCTTTTGATAAGTAGGCTTACGTGTTTATCTGTACTTTGTTGGGCCTTAGTGATCATATCTGTTTCAGTTAATTGGTTTTTTTTATCAATTTTTGTGGCACATACTTTGGTGTTCATCATATATCGAGTTTGTGGACGCACAACCTTGTGGTTAAACGCCGAACGTACTTACTATTGAACTACCTGAGACCACTGGATTACAATTTCTGTCCATTTACGATTCTGATTTCAATTTCTGACAAAACGTATAGTGAAACTTATCAAATTTTTACATACCCAAAAATCTGGATTCTACAAGTATTCTCTTAATAAGCATTAAATAGCAGCACTTACGTTAAGGCTGTTTAAACTTAAGTGAGCAGAATAAGTGCGTCTTAATTCGTTTATTAATTTCGTTTCACGAAAAGCACGAATACAGTACAGTACAATCAGTCAGATGAGTGCATTACTATGACTTATTTGCTCAAATGAAATCAACAAATTTACTGTCTAACGAATAACTAACTTGTTCAACTCCATCGTATTATATAATTCATTACAGTAAATTCCATAATTCTACTCTACTGCAGACAGAAAAATGTTCTCAGATAATAGACTTTTTAATAGACATGCATACCGTATAATGGAAACAAAAGATAATCAATAACTTTATGCATAGATATCATAAATAATGAAATATTTTGACAGGTAAGTATTTCAAGATAAGATAATGTCAACGCTGGGATGATAGGGGGAAAAAGTAACTAGTCGAAATCCAGTAAGCTGTCATTACAGCCTTACTCGTAGATGATAACATTAATCAATGTTTTGTTGAGTGAATAACTGAGAAATATTCATTAACTCAAACATCATTGCATCAAATAACCAGTCATAACTCTATCAACCAAAAACATAACTGTAATCTCTTGCTTACATTGTTAACGTTCCATCGAACACTAACTAGTGTCATGTGTCTAGTCCTGTGTTTATTGCAGATTGAATTCTATCCGTCAAGTTTGCAATGTGGCCACCATACCACTAGGTGGCTCGTCATCACGGTGCACTGTGAATCGTTGGTATAAGATGGTTGGAGGCGATCGGTACGAAGACTTGGATCTAGATTTCGTGCTTGGTGGCACTCATCAGCAAAGCGTATCTGCAATATTGAAGGAACTCATGTGTCTTCTGAGATTCGAACTCTCATCACCCAGTGCTACAGTCAGAAACGTTATGGCAAGCCACTTAGTGGCATGGTGGCCACACTGTAAACTTGACTGATAGAATTCAGTCTGTAGTAAACAAAGGACTAAGAACATGACACTAGTTAGTCTCCGGCCAAAAGTATCTAATACAGTACTACTGGATGTCATCCTCAAACCCAAATAACTCTGTGGTAACCTCTCTGACTGCAGCCCTGAGTGGCACGGGTTCGAATCTCAGAAAAGACATGAGTTCCTTCAAGATTTCAGATACGTCCTACTAACTGCTGAGTGCCAACAAACATGAAACCTAAGTCCTTCCGATTACCTTCAACCATCTAATAACGACACTGTTTACTTTGGAAGAAAGGACAGATGAAGTAATGTAGAGATTTGCGTGTAAGTGCATTAATCCAAATTATTGTTATTTGTTTTTTATTACAGCTTGATTCCACACCGTATTTTTGGTACAATTATGAAATTTTCAGCATGTGATATCCGTAGCCCAAATTTTGCAGGACGACCATTGATATCAGGGGTGCATCGGCATGTGATCGAACCCCGGACCATGTGCATGACCGGCGAGAGTTCTAACCGCTGTGCCACCGGCGCACAGTAAATGAAAGGAATAAGAGAACAGAATCCTACGCGTTAACGAAATTGACTCTGTCCCTCGGTTAAGTATAGTGTTTGTTCTTCTGAAGTAATTTTAGTTTTTCACTTTTGGACTGAACCTTTCATCATGATAATGTTTTACCTATGCATAAACCTTGAAATGTTGCTGGCCAAGTTTTAAATAATGTAAAGGGCACGAGCAAACTTGAACATCTATCGATTTTAACATAGAGAAAAACTGATAATCAACTAGTAAGATGCACTGTGAGATCTAGTTTCAATGATTGTCTTCACCTATGATCAAAATGTATGTGAAACGCTTTTCTGAAGATTCAAGTATGCTGTACGCAGTAATGGCATCAATAGATATACCACTGAGGGGTAATCGGATGGAGACTGATCTCATCATTCAGTAAGCCATGTATGTGAAACGATGATATTCCGAGAGTAGTCCAGAATCTGTCAACGAAAAATGAAGTGTGCCGGATAAATTGGATGATACGATACTTTTGGACACTGTGGTTGACCAGCTTTTGTTTGGTTATAGGCAATCAGAGTAAAAATGACACAAAGTTATGAACCAAGAAAAGAATCCTTTCAAACATATAACCTTCCGATCGATTTGTAAAAATATGACAAACTGAATTCCAATATAGCGAAAACATTCATTTAGACATCTATAGAAAAAATAATTGAGAAAAGAATATCCTTTTCCATAATTTCCTCTTCTGGCTCTACAATAATAAATATATATATACGCTAATATACACAGAATATTCTGGGCGACATTTGACTTGCGAAACTAGAAAATCGGCCTTTAAAAGATGTAATTGATGAACTTGCATTCTATTGTCGGTACATGGATGATACAATTTTTGACTGTGAAAAATGAGGATGAAGCAAAGAACATCCTGGACATATTTAACGATGTTCATCCTGCAATAAATTTTACTATTGAGAAAGGAAAAGATTCCAGTATTTCATTTCTAGACGTCCTTATGACCAGAAAAGAAGATAGCAGAATAAGAAGAAGTGTATATAGAAAACCAGTATACTCATTTTTTCACCTTTGTGTCTTTGAAACAAAAACGCAATCTAATAAAGTGCTTGGTCCACGCAGCAAGAGCAATCTGCTCTGATCAATGCCTTAATGAAGAGAATAATATTACTGAACAGCTGCTGAGTGAGAAAGGTTGCCCAGAAAAATTCATCGATAAGAATATGAATCAAAAGTCAAGGCAGGCCAAAGTACCAACAGTTCCGGAAAAGGCCTTGTTCTTACAACTTCGGTTCCTCTGGGATATCATTAGTGGGATATTAACACAACGCCTAAGGAATGTGGTAAAAAGAGCACTCACTAATGTTCAGTTATGCTGTGTCTTCAAAACCACTCCTCTCTTGCATTCGGGCGTAAAAAACAAACTGCTTAATTTCCTCTCTTCTACGTGTATCTACCAATTTGACTGCTCATGTGGAACCAGCTACATAGGCTGTTCAATTAGGCGTGTTTCTCGTCGGATTTCCGAACAGCACCCTGCATGGTTAAGTGAAGCACAAACAAAATCTATTCGTAGCGCTATTCTATCTCACCTTGTGGATCCAGAACACAAGATTGATGTCAGCCAGGCTTTCAAAGTCATTTACCGATTACCAACAAATCTTAACTTCGCCTTAAGAGTTCGTTTACTAAATATTACTGAGGCCGTCGGGATCCATATTAAGAAACCTAATTTATGTATCCAAAAGGAGCTAGTTCGGAAAATATCCTTACTTTGGCTATCTTAGTTCAAATGATCCTCAACTTTTTGTAGAAGTTTCCTTAGTTTCAGTTGATATTCTATTTGCTACTAGATTATTATTATAATTTATGCAACTTTAATGAATTGTGATTCCATTGATCTTACTTAACGAATCGATATTATTTAAAAACACTAATATCGTTTGGTTACAGGATTTCATCATGAGCTGACAATGGCATCCGTCATCAGATCGGGTCCCAATGGCTAAATGGTTTACGAGTTCGCTGGCCTTGTAACGAGAAGATCGTGGGTTCGAACCCTGGTGGTGGGTGCGTACTATTGAAGAGTCCCGGGCTGTGCTGAGGAAACAGCTGTCCAGTACTCCCAGCTGGTTTTCCAATGGTTCTCTAACCGATGTCAGCTCATAATGAAATCCCTTAACCAATCGATCAAATCCCTACAAACCATCCCTTGAATACTAATATTGTTATTGACTACTACTCTAGAATATTCCATGCATATATCCATATACATATATATATATAATTGTAGAGCCAGAAGAGGAAATTATCGAAATGGATATTCTTTTCTCAATTATTTTGTTTTTATAAAGTGAATTCCCTTGATTCGAAGCGTTGTTTCACTCAATTCACTTTTTACACTTGACAATAAAGAGTTCCATCCACCTGATAAGACTTAAAATCAACAGTGTTTATAATCTGCTTATTAATTCGTATAAATTTCAGCATTCTAATAAAATTGATGGAGGAATTAGACATTTTTCTGTTGAGGCGATATGAAACAGCTTCCTTTCCTATTTCCAGCTAGCATATTTAATAGCAGTATAGGCTGTTTAAAAAAAACTTCCCTAATGAATAATGGAGCCTCTCCTCTTGAGCATAGGACACTTTTGAATATGTTTTATTTGCTGTTAGAATTTCTTTTATTAACTTGTATCAAACATAGTCAAAATACCGACCTGAGTCTTTGCCTAAAAGCTCAATATTCCTCTAAATTAATTTTGATAGAAGATAATTGAATAATCTTTTTCAAAGAAAAAATTGATAAACAAAGGAAGCAGGTAAAAGTAACTAAGAATTAAAAAAATAAAAGAAAAATTCAATTAACTTCTGAAGGCTAACTACTATATAACGATAATTAAGCAATAATTAATCAAATACATTATATTAACATAACATCTTAACAAATTAATTGAATAAAAATAATCAATTCAGCATAAGAACAGTTTAAATAATTATTGTATAACATACCACTTTGTACATCACAATAGTCTACTGTGAATCCTTCTAATTGCATAACTTCAGTTGGATCTGATTTACGCTCTTTATAGGAAGCCATAATAAAGGTGTACTGTGAGACCTAGATGGGTGAAGCAGAAAATAAAACAAGATGTAATCTGACCAGGATAAAAACTGTATACACTCTTAGCAATGTCTGATAACTGATTTGCATGTCAAATTAATAAAATTACAAAGTGTAACAAACACGAAGAGCAGATACATAATATGGTAAGGAAGGTAGGTTGTAATACTATCCTAGAAACATTTCAAGTCAAAGGTTAAATTAACTAAATTACAATTAGGAATTAATATCCCATAATAAACATTAGGTGGGACGGATAAAACTCAAACAAAGTAGCATCATAATTGCTGAGAAGATTGACATATTGTGCAAATACAGATTAGAAATGTAGAAATAACAAAATAGACAGGATGGTTGGATAAAAAATCTAGTGGGATCATTACTAAAATGACGAATAATTGTTTACGCAATCAGGGATTAAATATGTAGAAATAATAAAATGACAGAATAAACAGGAAATTCGGATATGAAAATATGGTAGTGTAAATAGGAGTTAAGAAAAACTTAAAAATAACGTGAATAAACAGGAAGTTTGGATAAGAAAGGTAATGCGATAGTCACTGTCAAAAGAATTACTTGCTTGTGTAGCCGTGGCAAGGACAAGGGTTGGATGTATTTCGTTTGGATACATAGCGTGAGTTGGATTTTTTGAATGGCTAGTGCCTCGGTTATGCCAGGATGTCTCGATTTTGCTCCCTCTGGTAGGTTTGATTATATCTTTTATATGATTTCGAAGGATCTTTCGAAAGGCACTGAATGTCCTGAGTTGACCAGATTTTCTGTCACTGAACTATATACACATTTTCGTTCTCCTTTTACTAGCCAAGCTGGATAGTGTTCATGAACGCGTTTTTCAAGTTGGCGCATGGTACGGTCGATGTACACAGCTCCACACAAGCAAGTAAATTGGTATATGCATGCTGAAGTGGCCCAGTACGACAGCTTGTCTTTCGCGTTCTGGCTGAACAGTTTCTTTCAGGAAAACGTCAGTTGTAGGCTTGCGGCGAATTATGTTTACCTCAGAGATTTGCGAAGACATTCCTGAAGGATTTCTGCTTGAATGTCACCTCTTAATTCTAGATTAAGCAGAGGTATTTTCTTCGGGACGGATTGGACTTGTTCAGAAGTCTTCTTTGATTTTAGATTCATGTCTATGAACCTAAGCGGAAAACAGTTTTCCATCAGGGTTCCTCGTAGATTACGTAGTTTTTCGTCAATCACTTCCTCCCTGCATATCTATCCTCTAGGAAAGAGCGTATATAAGGTCCTTCTTTCCGCTTAGGGGTACATAGCTTTGAAAAGTGTTGAATTTTCCATTTCATGTAGACTTTTTGTATATGGATATTTTTAGAGAGTTGTCGGCGTTTCTTGTCAGATAGACGTCGAAGAAGTGGAACATTCCGTCGGATTCAGCTTCAAGAGTAAAGTCGATGTTTTGGTGGGTATTGCTGAAAGTTTGAAGTAAGTTCTAAAGGTCCAGGTTCTCATCACAAATGATAAAAGATATCATCAATGTATCTCTTGTAAAGATAGAGGTCAGCGATAGTCGATGACAAGAAGTTGTTTACGAGGCTGTCCATAAAACAGTCGGCCAGGAGGGGTGCCAGTGGAGAGCCCATTGCTATGCCCTCTGTTTGCCTGTAGATTTCATCATTGAATCTGAAGCAGACGTTGAAGGTGCAACGAAGTAACAGCTCCTTTAGATAATGGATGATTTGCATGTATACAGTGCAGTCATTTCTTTGCGTTCAGAATTGAACATAAAGATTCAAGTGCTGGACTTTGAAATTTCACTAGCTACGTCTTTTTACAGTATGGGATTGCTAGCTTGTCAATCCAACTTACCCTCTTTATTGGCCTTACTACCAGCTGGGTGAGGTATAGATTTACGTCAGCCGAGGATCAAACCCGGACCACGTCTGTGATTGTCGTACATTCTACCACCAAAACACCAAAAATACATCAGTCTGTCAATGGATAAATGCTAACAAAAGAATAACATGATTTGCAAATGATCACAGAAAGTTTAGCTGACAAATAGCTAAATTCGATTATATTGGTGAATAGTGTGAATTCTGTTGCCATATACTTCCTTGTTTCAACTTAAATCAATTATCCTATCACATGAAAAACAGCCATCTGTTATATTTAAGTAGCCTACTATACTCTAAACAATAATTTTCACCTAACTATATCATATACAAAGATCTATAAGTATAAAGGTGACTGGGAAAAGAGAAAATAGGAAGTGAAAACTTGTTGAAGAATATCATTTTCTACAGAATATATATTTAGGAATCAAAAGGCTGTTATATAAATAAGTATAACCTGATTTTATTGATAAAAAGAAGATTAGAATTAAGAAAGGAAAAAAATGTTTCTTCTGCCTAAAATCCCGACCTCTATTGTTATTATTTGTGATCATTATTATCGATATCAGGGTGAAATACTTGAGGGTATGAATAAGAAGTATGTGTGTTGAGCTTCTCACGTGGTCATCTTTTAACTTTCCTCGGATAGAAAGAAGTATAAGGTCAAACTGCAAGATGTGAGGAGAAAAAATGGAAGAAAAAAAGATGGTAAAAGAAAATAAATGCTAAGATACAATTCCTAATGATAAAATAAAATACATGAACACGAATGAAACTCAGATGCCAAAAATGATAAGTGTGAAAAATAGGAAACTTGAAGTATGAAAGGATGATAGTAGGCAGATCAATAAATTTTGGTGATATATGACTCTCAGATATGCAAATGAAGTAAAATATCAACAAAAAACTACTGAGGATACAATAGGAAAAAAAGAAATAGAGAAGAATTAAACACCATGTTCTTGTCATTATTATAATATTATTATTGTCTTCTTTAGTTCTTTGAGGAACATAGGGCTTCAGCCGCACGTCTCCATCGCACTCGGTTTTCCGCCAACGCTTCCACCTGGCTCCACATCTCTCCACATGTTTTCATCTCCTCTTCGCATGACCTTCTCCTCCATTTCATCCTCGCACTGATGACCAACTCGCCACTTCCCATTCAGGTTCCACTCTGGTGGTCGCCTGACGAACCATGTCGCTTGATGGTTAGTTTTCTCAGAGTATGGCAATACAATTCACCTCTATTTTTTCCTGCATACTTGTTGCACAATTGGTTCCTGCTGGGTTGGTTCCATCGTACACAGAGATCTCTGTTGCTAATCTTTTCTGGCCGACCATCTGATCTTCAATATTGAGCAAAGACAACTGTTGATGAAAGTCTGTGGTTTGTTTGAAGTCCCCTTTGGGACAAACTAAGTCTCTGATCCGTGTAGCAACTAGCACTGACTTCCCATTTGAATTGAAAATCCCGATCTTATTTTTTGGCTGAGGAGTGCTGTTGATCGCCACACAGACTTGAGAGTAATGAAAGCTTGTCTTGCTTTCCCCATATTCTCGCTTTGATATCCTCATCAGTTCTGCATCAGTTCATGAATTCCCTGACAGTTCATTTGAACCACTGAGAGAGGCGTAGACTGCTTGCGTCAGATACTAAGTATCAATAACTGGAGACTATTAGTGATATGGCTTAAAATGCCTCTCATCTGACCTCCCATGTTCACTACACCAACACCTTTTTGTTTGGTACTATTCTTCCTCCTGCACCCCTCTGCGTGTTGACGTTCTTTTGAATCTCTTCTTATTTGTCGTTTGTCGAGTTTTGTGTGCTACATCGGGTGTGGCACCTTGAACTGCTGCATGTCTGTGCAATGTTTGATGTTGGAACTCATTAATTCATTCATTCACTCATTCATTCAGTTAGTCAGTATTCACAATTCACTATTCCAGATTTACTATATAAAGCAACAGATAGTCAAATCAACATAGTAAGAATATATTCCTGTTGGTCACTGATGAAAATGTGAAATAGTAAAAGTGAATGACAACTATCAGATGGTGGCATTATCAGCAGAATGCTCGCCAACCGTATATGTGGTCCGGGGTTCGATCCCCAGCCGGTGCACTCCTCACTAAGCCAGTAATGAGACTGATGAAGAGAGAAGGTTGGGCATGAAGCCAGCAACCACATCCCGTAAAAATAAACACCACTGATACCGAAAATTCATAGCGCTAGCTTGTAGCCCTATTATCCACTGGGAACGTAAAGGAATAGAAGAAAAGAAGAAGAAGCTGTTGATCTCCACACAGATTTGAGAGTAATGAAAGCTTGCCTTGCTTTCCTGATCCTCGCTTTTATATCCTCATCAGTTCCGTTTGCCTGTAGTTGAAACGATCCTTCCCAGGTAGGTAAAGGAGGTTGCTCCCTTCAAATTTCTCCCATTTGTGCTGATTTTTGTCTGTTGTTGTTGCTACTGTTGATGTTGGCCAGGAATCTTCACCACCTTTGTTTTCTCTATGTTCACCTGAAATCCTATCTTTGTCAAATACCACAGAAATTATTTAACCAGATAGACTGACACAAATTAAGCAGGAAAACTTGGCGATAGATTCAACATACACTGAGGAGACTGTTGAATTACATCACGTGCCAGCCAGACCCTAGAGTGAAAGATGAATGGAGAACAAGGAGCTAGGCATCTGAGGAGATCATATGATGAGAGGAAAAGCTTATGGACAATTGAGAAGCCAGCAGAAAAGGATTGTAGACAACGGAGTAAAATGGAGGTGTGCTGCTGAAGCCCTATGCTCCAATCCGAACCCAAGGGAATAATAATATAAGGACATCTTCTTTTGTCAAGCAGTTCACCCACACTCTTTTCCTGATATTCTATTTATCATGTAAAGCCAAATAAAAAAAACCTTCTATATGTCAGATTTTTTTCAGTAACTCTTGAGCACATTTATAAGTTGTACTACTGAGTTTACCTCCAGGATATTCGCAATGACTAATAAATATATTAACCTCAAAAATGTGAAGATTTATGTAAATTAACTCAGCTAGCAGTTACAAAAAATGTTACAAAAATGTATATGTTGCATAAAGATTGCCGTGTCACTGTAAAA